AAATAGGTTATTGATGTTCGTGATGTATGATATATGAATTTTTTTCCTCAAGAAAATATGATATTGGCCTCCGAAAATATCATATTGACACTCGGGCTGTCGCCCTATGTCAATATGATAGTTTCCTTTGTCAATACCATATTTTCCCTCGAAATAAAATTCGTATTCCATCCCTGCCATTAAATAACCTCTATATATTCTAACCACAGATACTAAAATATAAGATGTAAATAAAATGTCGCCATAGAAAGTGAATTTTTAAGATAAGATGGTTCTTGTGTTTGGATCAGAAAGCACGATATGAAACATTAGAAAACACAAAACTCAAACACCATCAAAACCCAAAATAAACAAATAGAATGCAACCGTAACGCAATGTAAAATGTCCACAAAAAATAATAATTGACACACCACAATTCTTCAAACGAAACGCCCTATTCTGTTGTTAAATACTATAATATCACAAGTTTTTTTATCTTGAGTTGTCTTGGATTATTACTTTAGGTATATTTGACCCGAAGAACTGAACACCAATCTTAGACAAATTGCTCTGTGTAGATGGACTTGCGCCCCGGGTAAAACCAATCAGTCTGTTGACACATTAGGGAGGGTAATTTGTCCCCTTGGAACAACAGGTGCGTGCTAAATGTTCAGGTGAGGCGATGAGGTCATTATCATTTCTCAAATAATAGTAACTATGCTGACAATACAAGATACTTGACTTGTACTTTGTAACCTGCGGCAAAACTTCTAATTGATTGAATGACATCGGCTACTCGTATGTCCAATATCCTATGTCTGCTGAATTTGTTTTACGATTGCTTTTCTAAATTTATTTATCAATATGAAATATTTCAAAGTATGACATCACATATTGATTTCTTATATGCTATATATCGAGTCTATCGAACGGATCGCCAATCGAAAGGCGTGTATGTAGATACATCATTATAATAAATATAAGAAATAACCCAGCAATAGCATTAGCTTGTGATAACCTTTAAGCTTGTGGAACCGTCTTCCTAGAGACCATAAGGAAACGAACAGCTTCTCACTTTTCAAAAAACAGCTAAACGATCACCTCACTAAAAACATCGAACCTACAATTTCAACCTCCTACAGTACATACAGAATATTGATAGTAAAGAAGAAACAGAACTGTATAATATAAGATAAGAGTAAATCGATATTTTAAATCTGATCTTTTTACCATAATTTCTCTTTCATTTACGATCCATATTGTGACTGTGGAGTTCGAGAGACAACACACACTCTTGTCCTGCCCTCTGAGAGAAACAAATGCGTTAGCGGTGGTTAAACACGAACTAAACTTAGATGTAACTAAATACAAAACATTAAAAAATAAGACAAATTTCCTACTTTTTGGCGACAAGGACCTGACAAATGAAAACAATTCTAAACAGTTTTAAATTTCATTAAACACAATCAAACAATCGATAACAGTAATTCAAATTCAGGGCACCAACGGGGGTACAGACAGGTAGAAAAACAGATTGTATCTAAATTCTATACTTTTCTTGTACTAACTATGACTATGACTAAACGTAATTATGTAATTTAAATTCATTTAAAGCGGCAGTAGAAATGCCCTTTCTGGTCGATTACGCCGTGATTGATAATGTAAATTTACTTATGATTTTAAGAAATAAAGAGTATTTATTATTCAAAAAACAAACTAGCTTGTCAAATTAAAGTTATTTTAGGTTGAATTTCGATCATATAGTTGAGTAGCTGTTCCAGTGTAAAGAGTATACCGACCTGCCAACCTCCCGTTTTCCTCCCGTTTTTTACGGGAATCTCCCGTAAATTTTTTGTTTTCCGTAAAAATAACAGAACATCGTACCGTTTTCTCCCGTATTTCTCTTAAAATCTCCCATAATATTTTTCGTAAAATCTTCCGTATTTCTGCTGAAATCTCCCGTATTTTTGCTGATATATCCCGCATTTTTTACTGAAATCTACCGTATTTTTGTTGATATCTCCCGTATATTTGCTTAAATCTACCGTATTTTTATGGAGGGGAGAGTATATCTCTTTATATTCCATTTTTGAATGCAAAATGTGCATTTTTCAAATTGGAGAAAATAAATCAAATATATTAGCTTAATGTTTGCATATCTTAGTTTTATTATATTTTGTTACTCACATACTTCTTTGAACCGTGAATAAAATGTAAATAAAGCTAGCTACCCCACAAATATGGTTTCAAAGAATTATTTAAAGGTCTTTAAAGGCCCCATGTAAAGTTTAAACCACTTTGGCTTATATTGTAGTCTTACCCAATGTTATCAAAGTGTGATATGTGAAACTTTTTTTTTTAATTTCAAAAAGTGGTTTTTGATAGACTTTTTGTTCCAAAATTTGTGAATTTATTCAAAACCAACTTTTAGAGGTCACTCATATCTTCTAATTAGCCACAATTCATACAAATGCATAGCATTCATCCTCCCATGTTTTTTGCCGAAAAAATTAAGAAAATCGGTTGATAAACAAGCGAGAAATGAACTTATCAGTGCATGAAAATGGTTCTGAGAAAAATGCATTTCAAAATTTTAGTTCTCATAGAAACCAATGGTACAATGATATCTAAAACATAATTCATTCTTCCTTTTACACCTGGTTAGACAATCAAAGTTGGTTTTTTATGAAAGTCTAGCATATTTAGAAAAGATTGACATCGAAAAAAAAATTCAATTTTTTTCAAAAAGTTTTTGTTTATCACTAATGTTTCAAAATATTTTTGATAAGCTAAAACATTGAAATGGCCCATTAAATATGATATTTTATTTCTGAAATAGTGTGTCTTTTGTTCAATCTTTGCATTGGTGTTAAAAAGATAATCTTTTTTGAAATGCATTAAGAAATATTTGATGATTAAGAAATTTCAACTTTTTTTGAAAAATGGCGGGAAATTTGAATATTGGAGAAATGAAATGCTCAAAACTTTTTTTTCAAAATTTTTTTTTGTTCAAAAATCTCTAAAATTACTTTTTAAGTCCTGACAAATAGTAAATGAATGATAGAAAAATATTTTCAAACTTTAGACGGGGACTCTAACGTTTACATAAATGTATGGCGTATTTATTGATATTTTCACACGCGTTTAATTGAATTTAGCAATAAAAGTCTATCATTTCTCTGAAAGCCTTCGAGTTATTTTCAACTATGCTTAGCATGTATACATACTACATACAAATCAACTCGATTAGTTCTCAATCCATCTCGCCGACGGACAATTTATATTTTTATGTTCAGATTGGTTATGTTGACACGATATACATAGATCTGTTTTTGGTATACCCGATAATCTGATTTTATACACGTGTCTGTCACGAGGTTGGAACGTCTACTTTTGGTAAGGCACCTCTACGGCCTGTAAAAAACGTGATACGTCGCACGGAGACTGTAAGACGACCGTAGATTTTCCGATTTCAGGGAACTACGGTTAAAGTGCGGTCGCCGCAGAGCAATGTGACTAAGGTTTATTTAGTCACCGTTATTCTTCTGCAGGAATTTATTTGTTGTGGTCCGAAGTTATTAAAAACGATTCCGACCGTGCACGATGAAAAATAATTTCTTTAAAAAAAACTTTTTACCACATTTACACTAAAGACTTCTATTAAATACCAACTAGTCTTTCATACCGATTTAAACATTTATCTATTCAAGAATATGCGTCTCTGCTTTGTTTTATTCAAAAAGTATTTACTTTGAACAAAAGTTTTCTGATGGTGCAATACAGACATTGACCTCTTAAGCATTAGAATGTTTCATTGCATACCCGTTTAAAATATTTTAAAAATCAAATTAAACCCACTCTGCATTCTTCGATAACCAAATATCAACGTTCGAACACTGAACCATGTTGGTAGTGCAAAGTACCGTTGATCGCTCTCGTGTGCCCATCAGGATGTTTCCCATACTACTGCAGCTAAGCCTTGGGCCTAGTGCTCTACAACCACACTCTCTCCACCTAATGCCCCTAATGACAGGCTAACTGTCATTTCTAGCTACCACTCTGTGATTGATATTTGTCTCAGGGCAATTTAAAGTTCATTTCTCTTCGGGATTTCTAACTTTTAGTTTTTGAACATGTTTGTATATATGCAAAACTCAGCGCTGCAATCGTTGTTTGTAGTTTATTTGAATTATTATTTGCATTGGTTTTATTATTAGTAGGTTTTTTCCAGAGATTTAATTTTAGACGTAGTTGAATGGGCAGAGGCGGAGATAAAAGATGACACTCAGTTGCGATCCAACATTAACTTAAATCAATGTATTCTTTACCGATCTCAAATCTTCAAAAAAATATAATATCTTATCAAATGGTGAAGTTATTTTGTGTACAAAATGCGTTCCTTTTCCAAATAATAAATGTGCAGATCCACATTTATAGAAAAATGAACATTTATTTTGTAAGTGTTTTCCTTTGGCTTTTTATTATAAATAATCGGTGAATTCAAAAATAATCAAACCATGTCCAGTTACTGAGTTAAGAGATTGCACAATGGAAACTATCGCGACTGACTTGTTGCTTTGCATTCAAATCTCGGTAGCAAAAATTCCCATGAAAATCTCTAAGTAAAGAACAACTGTGACAGATCTATGGAGTATTTAGTGATGTATAATTGGGACACAGTGGCATTTTGTGTAAACTAGGCCAGAGTAGAGAACTCCTGTTGCATGGAGTTACTCACACATAGAACATCAACAATTAGTTACATCTGTACATAGATGATTGTTACAGTTTCAAAAACATCATTAGTGATCGAGTTTGTGAACTGTATACTTGATGGAGATAACTTTGTGACGGTGACACCTGAGAAGTAATTTTAACTTTTGGTTTAATTAATGAAATAATTACAAATAATTAGTGTTCTCATTACGCATGCGCACTGCGATGATTGAGCTAGGAAGTAAAGAATCCTCGCGGCAAGAACATAAAAGTCGTAAATTCCTAAATTACTCTAGCACTTTCACAAACATAGCGTTCACAGTCAAAGGAAAGTTTCAGTTTTATTGTTTTAGAATTTTTTATCGCCGTTTAAACTAGTAATCAAACAAAGAATTATGAGTATGAATTTAAATATGAGCTCAACTTTGCTAGGAAACGCATGGGGAACGTTATCACCTAGTTACCGAGAGGACGTTGCTACGACAACTGCATTGCAACCTGTCTCAGTGGGGAACTTATCGCCCTACTCATACAACACAAGCCCAAATGGATATATCAAAGAGCCCAGTTATCAAACTACAACGCTAGCTCCATTGTCTCCCGTTCAAAGCACTGACTATGCTCCAGAGAGCCCTCGGGCTAGTCCCATACCACAGGGAAACACGGACTATCCAACCAAAATCGTCTTGGACAATGTCCCTATGGACACTTATAAACTCTCTCAACAGAGTGGGAATTATCACTACCAGGCGGCGTATTATCCCTACAACACTGACCAGGTAGATACCGGGTACCCGTCACCACCTGCCACCCTCCAGCAATGCGTCCCCAACAGTTGCATGTACTCATATAGGGGGGTAGGTGACAGTGGTGCCACCTCATGGCGGGTATCTATGCCCCAATCAGAAGTGACTTCTACAACTCAGTTGGGCATCTCAAGCTCAGCGTATACCGGCGCATATACCAGCTCGTATACCAACTCATATGGAACACAGGGTTATGTTGTAAAAAGTAAGTAGTTAGATACTGAAGTATAGTTTGTGTTGGTCGTTCTTTTGATCGCTGTCTAATATTAAATACGTTTTTCAAATGATTCAGGGCCGTCAGCTGGGGTTCAAAGTCTGGAAGGTTCTTTCACGTTTAACTATTTGGTAAAGGACTAATTTTTACTGAACATAATAAAAAAACAGATTGATTTAAACACCAGCTAATAAGTTAAGGGAATTTAAGTGAGTTTGAAAACTTCATTTATAATTCAGGAACACTTTCCATTGGAGTATTGGAAATATTGATAATCACACGAAAAAATAATACATCAACAAACCTCGTCCCCATGCATACTGTGGAATCAAATAAAGCATTTCTGTTCAATCAGTAACATATTTTGCGAGTGAAATAAACGTCTCGTTTCATAGTCTTTCCATTCATTGAAGAAGGGATGGATGTCATTTAAATTAATTTTCCCTCATCACATTCAGGGGCGTAGCCAGCTTTCAGTCAGGGGGGGGTGCGATCGCCGAAAAATTTTCAGTTTTCGGTCAGGGGGGGGTGCGATTTTGCCATAAGCAACACAAAAAATTAAGATTTCTTTTGAATTTTACAAAAATTGATGCAACTTCCTTCAAAATTGAGCTAGAAGCTTCAAATAAAAAGCATTTTAAAGCTCTTTTCTACCTCTATCCAATGGTCATATTTTCAAAGGTTATGGGGGGGGGTGCGATCGCACCCATCGCACCCCCCCCCCCCTGGCTACGCCCATGACATTGCTTTAAAATATTTCCTTTGTATAGATTGTACTGACTGAAATCTTGACTTCCTGATCATTGAATTCTGCTTGGTAGCCAAAAACCATCTAACAGTTTGGGGAGATTCCCTTTAACCGGTGCCATTTTATCCAATATTGTGCGGACGTTATTATCTCTTTAAATACTAGTATAAATATTTTCCAGCTACATTATTTGATATATAATTGTTGAAGTATAATCAAAAGTCAAAAATCATTGTGACATCTTTCACCTTGTTTCCATCCAAAGCATAATTTGCACCATTTGATTACACAATTAAAGTAAAATGTTAAGATATAAATAGGCTATACGAGCCTATTCGTATATTTTTTATTTTGTTTTTTTTATGCAAAATTCACAGATTTTGATAACATTTACCCATAGGATGCAGCAATCAATTATTCTATTGGTCCTTTTTACAATGTAGCTTTGACGTTATGTAACAGTTGTAGTTCCTCCCCATTAACTGGTACCACCAGATGAGGTGTATCTTGGTCGAGACATTACTGTATATATGTCCACTGAACATAATTGAACCGATGAAGGGTTTTGGTCAAGAAAATAAGCAAAGTACTATCGAGTCCTTGAGAAGGTTGAAAATACATGGTTGGTTTCAATGTGTTATGGGGGTCGATCAAGCGCTTTGCGGATCTTGCTACTATACCATGTACCATAAATGATCAAGAGATCTCGTAGATTCACACGAGAACATTTTGTGCTGCTGATTCAACAGAATCATTTTCTCTCTTCGCTTGTTGTCTTTTGACACTTTTCAAAATTATTTCAGATTGCACTGAACATCAACCCGTGCGTCTCTCTGATAATCGAATGTAGGATGTCAAACGCTACTTTTATGTGAGGCATGACTTATATCAGTGTAAAATCGTATTCGAAAAGACTTATCTCGAAAATTGAATATTTGCATTCATACACCTATAATGTCATGTCCAGAAACTCACGATGTGTTATTTATCCCATTTTAGGAATAATTACAGAAGTGATTATCCATCATATATCCATATTTTTTAAATCCATACATTACGAAAAAATTATCGCCAAATAAAACATATGGCCGTAATTTGTCCACATTGTCTATAAATGCAGTCATAATCCATTCTTCTCATGCTCCTTTCATTCAATAATTTAAAATCACCGATGAAGATTATTTAAGTTCAGTTGCAAAAATAATGAATAAAAAATAATTATTCTATTTTTTGATTGGAAACTTTAAAACAGACAAATAAAGTATTACAAAAACCAAAACAAATCGTAGTAAAATTGACCTTGTACGACTGGACTAATTATGGCTATAATAAGTTTATGGTCGACTATAAAACGCCTAATGAGTGTTTAATACTGGTTTTTCTCAACATTTACGAGGCTTTAGCTATCAAGAGTAATAAATGTGATTTTTCTCTTGCTTTTGCATCTTGCCGCTTGACGGTATAGTGGTTGTCTTTGGCAAAAACAAGTTCTCCCTGTACAACGCCATTTTCAGATTATATAAATTAAAGAATTTCACATTTAGTAGTGCTTTAAATGATGCTTGGTATCCAGTCAGAAAACAACACGATTTTCAAATAAAATGATTGTTGTACTGGTTTCACTGGGTAAAATAATGTAATGAACGCCAACATAAATCAAAAGCTGTGAACAGACGAAGAAGGAAGTGATCAACGACACAATGTAAAATGTACATATATACATGCAGTAAAACTGTGCAAGTGAAATGCATATTTGCTTCCTAAAAAGAGTGGTACACTGGATGGTTGTTTTATTATTATGGAGGTTCACTTTTAATGGGCAACTTGACTTGAAAGGTGTTCCACTTATGGAGGTGTTCCACTACACAGATTTTACTTTACTAAGCTTAATGGACAGAGCTTATATGATCAAATGAGGAGAAAACATAATTGCCAATGCATTCAATCGATTCCTTTATGAATATTTATTTACTCTTGAAAAGTATAATCATAAGAAACTTAATAAAGGTCGTTCTGTTACAGTGATCCGATTTGGTTGTTTCAAATATACTTCAAGTATTTGAATAGTGTGTCACCTTTTTGAAGCTATTTGCATTAGAGATCAGGTGAAAAATTAGTTTCAATTTAAAAATGTAAAAATATTATGACAATAATTAAGATAATCTCCTTGTTGAGCAAACGTTTTTCCTGAGGGAGCAATTCATCATTCGACAACAGTGACATCCTGACAGGCAGGATTTATCATAAATGTTAGTAATCTTGTTTGGCCACAGGCTCGTCTTGCAAACCAATTACTTTTTAAAGTTTAAGAAACTTGTAAAAGCAATGCTATTCGCATGATACATTGGTAAACAAGTGCGTCATTGTCTAAAAATTTCACTTGGTTATCCGCTATAATATATGTTTTTAGATTTCATATACACTACAACTAACCATATGGTTGCTCATAATTGCAGAGGCTTAAAATAAGTCTATGTCGCTGTTTCTCATGTGAAAGACGAATGATTTTCGTTATCTAAAAATAAAATGCGAGTCTCATATGTGAAACAAATTCGAATTTTCAAGGACCAAAACCTTGAAGGAGGTATACATTTAACCGTACGTTGTTTGTACTTCTATAAAACTTACAAATACAATTTACGCGTAATGTGGGTACCTTTATGGATTTCATTTCATTTTGGTCCTATTGAATTATAGTCCCTCTCACCATTGATATATGAATATAAATGTGAAGATTTACAAGAATGGGTGTTGGTGTTGTTCGATGTTATGTTGCGTTTCTTTCTTTCATTAACGCTAGTGCACCTTTTGCAGGTTTATCAGAGCCCCCGAAGCTGCCGCCACCGATTCTACCCACATTTCTCCACCTGCGAAAGAAGAGGAAGCCGTACACAAAACACCAAATAGGGGAGTTGGAGAAGGAGTATAATAGCAATACATACATTCCGAAACCCAAACGCTGGGAACTATCACAAAAACTTAACCTCACTGAAAGACAAGTGAAAATCTGGTTCCAGAATAGGAGAATGAAAGAAAAGAAAATGGACGGAAAGCCTTGTGGTATGGACATGATGGACAGCCCATGAAAATTAGTGTCTATGGCCATGGGTTATTTGGTGCAGTAGTTCAGTTAATTTATAAAGATGACATTCCATTAAATTTCATCCTCAAGATCACGCTAGACTCCGGACAAATTTCTTTTTTCTGAGAGGGAGAATCTGTTAGTTTTGCATTTGTAGGATAGAAAAATTTAAATCCATTATTTTCGATAAGACATTTATGACTTTGAAGAGATGTACATGTATGTCCGTGTACTCGTATCATTCCAGGTTTACTCATTCGTTTGTTTAGTCAATTCAACACGTATTATATATTCTTCAGTTGAACTATAGATATGTGGGCTCACCATTCGCCATCGTATGGCTAATTTTGGATATTCATTTTTTAATTTAGTGTGATGGGGGATATCTTTTTCTAAACTATTTGTTTTGCCCTCAGTATCAATACCATGCCATGTCGTCTGCCCCTAAGTATTCACACGGTGGCGAAAGTTGAGCCCACACGGCCTAATAAAGTGTGGCAGCTACATAAGACATGTGTGTTTATATGTTTGATCATTTAGGCCTACGCGCAAAAATGTAGTCGGATTATGGCATACCTTATCACTCTAAAAAGTGTTTACTAAATTACTGAATCACTGTTAATTTGGAAATACATGACCTCATTTGAAGAGCTTGAAAATAGGGTTGTAAATGTATAATATTATTTCACATTCTGATACTCATCACATCTTTCTCTTTACCAAGCAACAGTTTCTGAAAAAGAACTGGTAGAGGGCTGTGATGCCTCATTTCAATTGTAAATATGTACTACAATTAACTTGGAAGTCCTAGTGTGATAATAATGTAAATGCTAGTCTCTGATCGGATTGCTGTATTTGAGAGTTAGTCTGCCAACTATTAAATACAAGCATAGTGGGAGCGTTAATGCCCACTTTACACATCTGCTGCTGTCTCCATTTAAATTCATGTGTATATATTAATTGAAGTTTTGTAAATAGGTTAAAAGTAGATGCATTGCTGCTGTATGGATTATTGCTAGACTTTGAAAATACTTATATCAAACTATATAATTCCTTTACTTTTCTGTCTCAATAACATTTGTATTTTCAGAATTCAAGTAAAATATATTCTGTCTTCGGAGGGTCTGTCTCAATTAATTGTAAATACTAATAATATGAATTAATTCCTGAATGTGTAAATAATATATAGATAACATGTCAGGTTATTTGTTTAAAATGTAATATTTAATCCATTTTGTAACTTTAAGAGATGTCTTGAGCCTGCTGTGCCTCGGCACATACTGTACTGACATCTGTATAAATTACCCTCTCTGTAGCGAACACCTACCAACAATGAACGTTTTTCTCGGCAAAAAATGTTCAATATACACTTTAAAACAACAAATACAGAACAGGTCGTTCAATAATTAAAGCTAATTGAACTTTTATTTTGCAATACCAAATTTACACAGGATTAGCATTATAGATTTCACTTACCATCATCCTGAAAATTTCAGCGGAGCAATCGTAACTCCACAAAATATAAGAATGGTTGGTGAAATGTATCATCCTACTTCAGTGGGCTTAGATATCGCAAGATAAAGGTCTTATAGCAAATTTAGCTCTACTTATTGAAATAATATAAATGAAAGACCTTTGGTACCTATAAATGGTGTTTCACTTGTGAGGTGTTCCACGACGGTGGTTCATTTAACATTAAGTTAATTGGTAACATGAGAGTGTTTCATTTGATGAGGTGGTTCATTTTATCTTTTTTATTACAATTTATAAAATACTGTTAAAGATCACATTGCCTCACAATTGCCAACGTTTCAAAAACATATGCAGAGGCAATGTTTTATAAGTGTAAATACTCAATTGATAAAGTCCATATTTGTAAGTTGTAAAAGATATATATCCATTGAAACATAATTATCAGCATTGAAGTAAGAATGTTCACTTCATGAAATAAGTCATATCATATACTTCAAGGTATTTTACTAATATTATAATTATGTATAATAACATGTATCAATTAGTACATGTATATATATATATACTGTATAAACAAACAGCCAAAGAATTGCAATGTACAATCATTTATATACAAAGAATATTTGTATCAATCATGAAAATATTTATGAATAAATCTAAAACAAAAAATAAATGTATTTCTAATTTTTTATCTCTCGTTTACCCCCCTATCACACCAAACTAGTTCTTACCCGTTCTTGCCAGTCCTACGAAAACTTCGTAAAACGGGCTCAATCTGGCTGTGGTCGGGAAATATGTCTAAAATAATTAGCTTCTTCGTTCTTAAACAGTCTTCAATACGTCCATCTCGTTCGCAGTTCGTCCAGGTCGCATCACGTCGATGTGCAACGTCGTAGAACTTGTCCCTAAGTCTAGAAGGTCAACATGACCTGATTACAGAACGGCATGGTCGCCATCTAATTCAAAATTCTAAAATCACATTCCCATCTAAGAACGTTCATAAAGTTTGTAAATAGACCTTAGAAAGTTGCAGCTACGTTCATTCCGTTCGCACACAGTTTACAACCAGTTTTGAAGAACGCAGTGGCAACTTGTTTGGTGTGATAGCTATATTTTTGCTAACTCGTTCATAAGCAGTGTTAAATACGTTCTTAATCAGTTTAAACCCGTTTGCAATTAGTTCTACCTCGTTCGCAACACGTCCTCAGACAGTTCAACTCGTTGTTAAAACGTCCCTAGTAGGATCGAAGTACGACGGTTCCGTTCGTAGTACGTTCAGCTCGTCTTAAGTACGTTGTCACTCGTTCTAATTGTAGAACGTGACGACCACGAGAATATTTTGAGCATTGTCTAAGTTCTAGAGGACCTACCCGTTCGAGTACGTTCGATGAAGTTTGTAAATAGATCCCAAACGGTTCTTAGTAGGTTCATAGGCAAAGCCCCTAATCAGCCCAAAAAGATCAATATGGCAGCTTAAAACCATCATTTTACTCACAGAAGTTCATAGGTGAAGCCCCTAATCAGCCGACAAAGATCAATATGACAGCTAAGAACCATCATTTACATACAGAGGTTCATAGGCAAAGCCACTATTTAACCCACAAAGATCAATATGGCAGCTTAGAACCACCATGTTACTCACAGGGTTCATAGGCAAAGCCACTATTTAACCCACAAAGATCAATATGGCAGCTTAGAACCACCATGTTACTCACAGGGTTCATAGGCAAAGCCACTATTTAACCCACAAAGATCAATATGGCAGCTTAGAACCACCATGTTACTCACAGGGTTCATAGGCAAAGCCACTATTTAACCCACAAAGATCAATATGGCAGCTTAGAACCATCATGTTACTCAGAAGGTTCATACACCTTCAATATCCTCTAGTAAAGAAGACCTTCAAGTTTTTTCAGTGTTTTCCATTGTAACAAACGGTCTATCTTTGGAGCACCATATATAGATCTTCCCCTCACTTGCAGTTACAAGAACTGTCTCTTCAGGATGATAGGTCAATGAATGCACTGTTGCTTTACCATGTGGGAGCTTCTTGGTTACTTTAGCCTGGAACAGAGCAGTCAGTATTACATTACATTATTTACTTTTGAGAGATTTAAAGTAAATGTTCAATTCAATAAATCTTGAATTCCTTGCTTAATCATTGTCTATCATTCTAAATTCATGTATTAACTTAAGTACTGTGCGAATATCTATAGGTACATGTACAATCTACATTTATTTTTGTTAATAATGGATTGCATCTTTCATGTAGAAAAAATGAGAAAAACAGAAGTTCCATGTTTGGATATTTAATTCAGTAAGAAATGAAGAAGGATAACTACGACCTATCTTAGGAGAATTAAAGCTAAAATTTGTTTTACATATAGGCCTACCTCTAATAAATCCCAAATAAAAACGTTCCCATCTCCAGATCCACTCAGCACATATGTATCATTGCTACTTAGGCAACTGTCTATCTTATAACTGGTGTTTTTATGTCCTGTGAACTCATTAAGCATCTCTCCAGTGTCTTTATCAAGGAGTTTGATACAATTGTCCAGGGTACTAGCCAATGTACATTGTCCATCTTGGGTAAAGTTCACACAGGTCACAGTTGCTGAAATAAGACAAAGTTTCATGTACAGTATATAATTGGTTATAAAATAACACAAAGTTATATTCGAAGCGACAACTTTATCAAATGGGTATGGTAATTTTGCCTGGAATCAATTAGCATTATGTTACCCTAGTAACCATTACTTTTGCGATTTTTGACCAATATTTTTTAAACTTTATGTGTCTTGTCACAAAACATGAAACTACACTGTATGTCGGAATTATATATGTAATGTTAAATAACAGTTCTTTTTTTTTTTTTTTTTTTTCTCAATATACATTTTCACTACACAAGGATACAAGGATACAAGTGATTTGCTGTAAGCCGTTTTTACAAATGAAATAGAAATACAAAGAATACCAAATTCGACACACAGACCCATTCCACTCACACGACATTCATTCATATCATGCATACCACACACATACAATCACTCATCAAAAATATTTTCCAGTCTGAGACCTTCGTTTAAATAGGCTTGAAATCCAACACAAGTCAGTGGCATGTTGGAATAATAAGCTCTATGAACATAGTATTTTAATATCAAAACGGAAAAGTTAAACTTTCTAAAATGTTTCCTATCGAAATACCCAACAATGACGTGTTGCTCATTTAAGTGTATATCCTTTTCTCTCCATTGATCTCCGAAATATTTTAAAAGACTTTTGATGTTCTTGCACTCCCAAAAACGGTGGACAATCGTCTCTTTTTGGCCGCAAAAATCACATTTATCATTCGTACGTATACCAACAAGTTTAAGGTACAAATTTGAGGCATAAATATTATTAATAATCTTATACTGTAATTCCCAAAAAGCGTGGTTTTTGGTTATGTCATATACCATTGAACACATATCTCGAGCGTTAACATTATATTTGCAACATAAGCGCTTAACGCTTATTGATTCAGAAAAACATTGTTGGTTGATGTACAATTGAATCATTTTTGTATTCAAATTTTTGATGTGGACCGTTTTGTTACCAATAAAAAACTCTTCGATGCTTTCAGTATATTCGGTTTCACACTTCGCTTTCGGATCGCTTTTTAAAATTGATTTCCATTTCTTTGGAATGGAAGATATTAGGCTAATGTAGTCTAAAAAGTTTATATCCACCTGGAACTTGTATTTAAAATCATTCAGTTCCATAAAACTACCATTCCCATTTAGTAAATCATTTATTTGAACAACCCCCATTTCGAAAAGGCTTTTTTGAAATATCTGTTTACCCTCCCTAAGTATGTATTTATTATGCCATAGTATCTCGCTCTTTACCTCAGAACTGTTTTTTGGTTCCTCCGTCTCACTTACCGTTGAATAATATGAAAGAGCATTCATATAGAAATCGGGGATTTTTTGTTTAAATAGGCGTACATCATATCTACATTGCAGAAGTAGATTAAGACCGCCAAAATGTTCAAAATATATTCGCGGAATCACTTTCCAGTGGCTAAGTTGGTCATCAAGGAATCGTTTAAGCCACATAATTTTTAGTGCTTTTTCCATCGATGTCATGTTCACCATACGAATGCCCCCCTGATCATAAGATCCGACCACAGTATTTCGCTTTATTTTATCCCGTTTCCCTTTCCACAAAAAATTATAAATCAAAGTATTCACCTTTGAAATGATGCTGTCGGGCGTAACAGTCATGGACATAGAATACACGATCTGTGAAACTGCAAGGGATTTGATTATCATAATACGACCGTAAATGGTGAGATTTCGCTTACCCCAGAGGTTCAGAATCCTCTTCAACGATTCTATTTTCCGGTCAAAATTTATCGCCTTATTATGCTCTGGATCGTATGATACACTGATGCCTAAAAACTTACTTGGCCTCTTTACCCAAATACAGCCCCCAATATTCGGATTTACACCATCATGGTTGGCACCAACACTAAAACATTCGGTTTTTTCCTTATTGATTTTTAGGCCCGATAATTGATAAAAATTTTCGAAAATGCTTAAGGCAGCTTCAAGGGAATTTGCATCTTTGAGTATTAGAGACGTGTCATCGGCATACATAATCAATTTCTGAGTGTGGCCATTTAGATCGATTCCTTTCACATTTTCATCTTGCCTGATCTTAAGGGCAAGTACCTCAATACATATAACAAAAAGGGAGCAACTTAACGGATCTCCTTGACGGACACCCCTATGTACTTTAAACCACCCAGTAGAATGCCCGTTGTTCAATACGCAGCTATTGATATCAGTGTAAAAGAGCTTAACCCAACGGATTAACTCATCGCCAAAATTAAAGTACCGCAACGCAAAATCAATAAAACTCCATTCGATACTGTCATATGCTTTTTCAAAGTCAATTAAAGAAATAATGCCTGGTATTTTCCTTTCTCTAGTATATACTAGTAAATCCTCCATAAATCGAATGTTTTCGCCAATCAGTCTTCCTTTTACAAAGGCAGTCTGATCGGGTTCAATAATCGCGCAGAGAACCGCTTCAATTCTCTTACTAACCACTTTAGAAACAATTTTATAATCTATATTTAACAATGAAATTGGACGCCAGTTTTTAAGCAGAGATAAATCCTTTCCCGATTTTTCAATCAAAGATATTACGCCCTGCCTTTGACTAACAGATAAGAGTCCAACTCTAAGTGAGAGGTTAAAACTGTCAACAACACCTTTAGAAATGTCGTTCCAAAATGCTTTATACCATTCGGCCGAAAGGCCATCACTCCCCGGTGTTTTGTTCGACTTAAACGTTGAGAGAACTTTAAAACAGTTCTTGCAGGTTACCTCCAGTGCAAAGATGTAAAACATACAGTATTAGCAGTAAAGGAAATGTCAAGCACAGCCCTTAGTGAAAATGTGTATCATTTTACATTACTTAACCCCTTGAATACCAAATAACTTTCACTTTTTGCTAGTTTTTGTCATATTACACTATTTTAATATCTAAATGCAATATTTCACTTGATCATGTTGGTGAGCTTTGAACAATTTTGTAAATTTCAATACATACACTAGGCTAATTGGTGGTGTAACAAAGACAAAATTTGGAAAAAATACAGCAAAGGAGCACGTGGGTTATCGCAAACAATTTTAGAAGGTTATATCTTGGATTATGACTATTTTCTGACAATGAAGACAAGTTTATCTTTTAGATCAATTCATTATCTCAAAGAAAATTATGTACAGTAATAATAAATTCAAACAAACTCGGAGATATTTAACTAGCAATTAACCCTTCATCACACTTTTTGACCCCATTTTGAAGATGTTGACCCCATTTTCACCAAAAATGCAATCATTTTTTACAATGTTTAATGCATTACTATTCTTTATGATGTATCAAATAGTTCTTGAAAGAAAATCTTAATTGCATTAAGATAAGTGTTCCCCATGTTATTTCTCCATTGAAAAATCTCATGCTATCCATTGGTTTCAGTTCACTCTGGTCATCCAAATTGTATATCTTTAAAGTCCCTGGAGCAATCAAATTTTCCTTTTAGGAAATCGAACATGTCTCAAAGCACATTCTAATTATGCATTCAACAATATAATAATAGGTTGCATTTTTGGTGAAAATTAGGTTAACATTTTTGAAAAAGTATGTTGATTGATCCATTGCCCCTTCAATATCACTTAGGTCTGATTAACTAAATTATCATTATATATACTTTTCTTGAAGATAATGAATGGATCTAAAAGATACACCCATGTTCATGATCAGAAAATATTCATAATTCAAGTTAGAATCGTTTGAAATTGTTTGCGATAACCTATGTGCTCCTTTACAGAGATACTAAATGTATAATAACATGAAAAAATAAATTTGATATTTATTGGCAAAATGAATATCCGGAGGATATCGTTACGATATACTCCGGGCGGAGGATATCGTGACGATATCCTCCGGAAAACCCAATATATGGAGGATATTGTGACGATATACTCCGCTAGTTGATTTCCCGCCAAAGTGACTCTATTTGGCATGAAATTCATTTTACAATGATATTATACATTCAGTACACTCCTTGTAAGTGTAGGATAATAAGAACATCCTATGATTTTTTTCAGAATATCATTTTAATCTACTCGGTGATATTGATATATGCACTCGTTCGCTTCGCTCTCTCGTGCAGATATCAATATCACCTCGTAGATAAAAATGATATTCCTCAAAATTATAGGATATCCTAAAATTATGTGAGTATGTGACCATAAACATCACTCAGGGTATTCAAAATGTTTAGCATACTATACATGCTCTAATAATACATTAACTGTAGTACATAATACACCACAATCTAACCCATAAAGAGAATTACCTCCAATATAGTCTGAGTTCATTTTGCCATTCCTGATATCATATCTGCGCACTTTATTATCTGCTGAACCTGTCAGAATCTCATAGTCAGAGACTTGTATTGAAGTGACACTGTCCTTTGCTTCATCAAGGACCTAAAACACATGAAGGGATACTGTATAAAGCTATGCAGTGTGCACTGTATTCTGGTATAAGTGCAATACAATGATTTAACATGTGCAAAAGGGTTCTCAACTTAATGGACAAAATTTAGGAACTGACTTTTGGAAAGTAATATTACTTACAATGATATAGTACAGTACATACATATTCATGAACTAACAGGGTAAAGAAAAAGACTCAGTTCGCCTTATCATACAGACATACACCCTGTAATTAGAGTAGTGAATTGGCACAACAAAAATGGTCGAAGCAAATATTATTGAGTTTACTCATCACATTTTTCACATTTAATGAAACCAAATATTTACCTGAACTGGGTCCATATTTCTACTTCTACAGTCCCAGATTCTCACTGAACTATCTAATGATCCTGATAACAATAGCGTTGACTCTTCATTGAACTTAACACAATTTACAGTCCCTGCATGCCCCCTATACTTTCTTAGAATACGTCCTGACGCAACGTCATACAATACCACTGTCTTATCCATTCCACATGAGCAAAGCTGGGAATTATCACACGATCCCTGTGCATCTAGTACTTCATAGCCATGGCCACTGTAGGTTTTTAAGTGGGCCCCAGTTTTAAGACTCCATAATTTAACAGATTTGTCACTGCCACAAGTGATACAGTAATTGCCATCAGCTAAAATACATCAAAAATACATGTACAATAATGTGTACTGTACACTTCATGTAACAGTAGGTAGGACAGGCTGAGACTCGGAATCATACATTGTAGTATGCAACTGAAAATGCATGTAAACTATAGGTTTCATACAATGTCCTTGCCTTGCATGTATGGTACATTCAAGCATTGTGTATACGCATCTGGCTTACTCAAGTCTAAATAAAACAAACTTGGGTAGAGATCGCTAGTAGTATGGACCTACCATGTACTCTTGAAAACTTAATGGTAAGTCATGGTCTAAGAATATTTGGAAGGAGTGAACTTACAGAAGGTACATGTAACCCATGGACAATACAGTTACTGTATAAGTTGATGTCCTTTCTTTATAATCATTGACCCAATTGAAATGAGGGCTCCCCAAGGGGTATGTGACAAGGTGACCTAGCCTGTAAAAATGTGACTAAATGCAACTTTTGGGTATTTAAAAATGAACAAATGTGACAAAGAAAAGCTTGCAAGTGACAATTTTGTACATTGATCTGAATGACATGGGTTTTGAATGTGTCAAAAATAGACAATTCGTTCTAATGTACAGTGATTTTTTTTATTCTGGGAATCAGTTCATATGGTTGAAATAACGAAAGAATGTGATGTAACCACGTGTCTACTTACCGGCTTGTTCTATGTCATCCATCGGACTAGGTTACATCGTGGAACGCAGCCAAACACGACACTGAAGGCAACAGCATATCTATCTTGATCTTAGCCGAATTTTTCGAAATTTAGATCGTCCATTTTGCAAGCTCACGTGACTGACACGTGACACATGTCTGATCACGTGACTAGTTACTGTATCGATCATGTGACTTAATCACGTGTCAATGAGGTGTCACCCAACCATGTCTTCAAGGAAAACGGAAGTAAATATTTTGGAAAATGTTTTCCGAGCATTTGCTACTGATTATAGAAGGTCCAATAACGAACGAAACTGCTAAATTGTATTTCGTGCCTAACAGGCGCAGTACGCAATGAAAGAAACTGCTAAATTGTATTTTTAGTCTGCTTATTGATCTATTGATTCATAAAGACCTGAAATGATGCATTCAAATAAGACCACCTCCTAAATGAAAACACTACACCTAAGGTGGTGAAAAAGAACAAACTAAAGTTGAAAGATCGCAACGTTCGCTACTTTGTTCAATTCCGGAAATCTCTCCAAGGGGCTGCAAATGGGAAATTATTTAGATTTAGATTTTATAACCTCAGAATACTGGCTTCATTGTCATGTTTGGCTGCGTTCCACGATGTAACCTAGTCCGATGGATGACATAGAACAAGCTGGTAAGTAGACACGTGGTTACATCACATTCTTTCGTTATTTCAACCATATGAACTTATTCCCAGAATAAAAAAAATCACTGTAAATGGAAGCAGGTAAAGGAGTGACAAACGACAATTTTAGAATTTAAAAGTGTCTAAATAAAAATGACCTCAATACCCATTTGAGCTCAAATGACAAGGACACCATAGTCTATATCATTGCGTTATCTGGTATATACCAGATTTAAGTCTTGTGCATGTTGTTTTGTGTATACCACTTTCACTTTCGATTTAATTTTAGACATGCACAACTTCCGGTTAGACTTACCATTGAACCGTACAGCTCTTACAGCTCCTTGCTTGCACTCAATTGTATTTACGAGGTCGCTTGGGTATGTCTTGTTCATAATTCAACCGTAGGTCGGACATTTATAAGTTATCCAAGCATGTAATTAAAAATACATCGATGTGTTGCCCGTCAGAAAAACGTTTGACCTACTTTTATGAATTGATACCTACTTTTATTTATACGATATCTACGTATTTAATATAAAATTATAATAGTATATTCCGTATTTCATAGTTTAAATATTTTCATAATTATTAAAATTCAAATACATTGTAATTAATAATTTGTTTTTATTACATTTATATACCTTGTGAATGATAGATTTTGTTTGATAATCGATACTTTCATAAGATTTGAATACTAAGGCAGCTCTGTATTCAAAATGGCGGCAGGTGCTGAATTTTACGTGCGATACTATGTTGGTCATAAAGGCAAATTTGGCCATGAATTTCTCGAATTTGAGTTCCGTCCTGATGGTAAGTTACTGTCTTATATACCAAGCAAATATTTTCATAGTTTCAATATTATTCATTTTGGAACATGGCAGAAATAACAAAATATATTTACAATATTAGGCTGGAGATTTTAAATTTAGTCGAGCATTTTACATTGTTGTAGATCTAAGTAAATTATTTTGTCCAGCTTGTTCAAGAAATATAGACGGAAGATCAGGTTTTATACCGACGAATAAATACCGAAGGGCTAGGCACAACTGTTTTCTGTAGCCTAGCCATAATGTAATTATTACTCAAGAGAATACCTGATCAGCTACACTGCTCGTCATACATTGTAAAGCCCCCCGCCCCCTGTAAATAAATGACACCTGGATTTGCTGAAGTGAGGATTTCCCATGTTAAAAAGAAAAAGACTGTATCCTTCGTCTGAATAAATTCAGACTGTAAGTCACCTATTGTAAAATGTGGTGTTGTATAAATGTTACAAATAAGTTTGTTTAAACCTGCACATCGCTCCAAAACGCAATATGTTGACATATATTGTTTTTAAATTTTCAAGCTCTAATATAAAGTTTATGTAAATAATAATTGTTTTTTTCTGCGTAATATCAAAGAACAATCATTTAGTTAAAAAAATAAAAAGGCGAATGCGGGATTCGAACCCGGGTCTCCGGCGTGCTCAGCGAGGATTCTACCCCTACACCACCGTATTGTCATGAATTGTGAAAGTAATTAAACGCTACTTATTTTGAATGCTATGATTCGGAAGTGACGTCACGTTCTTCATTTAGAAACCTTTCCAAAATCATATCGCCGGCAACGATCGAAGCAAATTCAATGAAAAATCTTTGAAATGACACATTTATCGTAAGTATTTCTACACAAGATTTGCCCCATTTGTTCATCATTCTATAATCTTTCATTAAGCTCAAAATGATAAAGTTCACCCCCGAAACAACCCAAGATTGCGTTTCGGAGCGAAGTCCAGCTTTAATGATAAAATGATTACGTTATAAAGAACTTACAATATTATTTTTTCGTATATTGTCCTCTTACTGAAGATATTCATAAAATGTACAGACGCTTCTTGTAGGGAATCCATTGTTCAGGTCAAGCCATTTTGGCAATGCCAATTCTCACGATAAACGAGATTTAGCCAGTGACGTCAGTCTATTTGTAAACAAATAACACGTGGAGCGGACGGAGCAACATTACGGAAGCGTATTGATAAATTCCATTTGTGCGGGAATTTATTAGATCTAGTCATTTATTATCATTATCCCGATTAATTTTCGTCATTTATAGTAAATAGAGCGGAAATATTCATGAAAAAGGCCGAGGTAATCAAGTGGTCATGTGTTGTCAAAGTTCAAAAATTTGCATATCTCGTTTGGATCTCGTGAACTCAAACGTCCTTGACATTGATTTCGCGATCTACTTATGAACACATCCTGAAGTTTTGGTGAGTCTGAACATTTCATTATTTTATATCAACTTGTACCCGCCTTATACAAATATTTTTGCTTCTAGTTTAAGATGAACATCTCTTCAACATATTCACCAATTTTCAAGGTGAACATTCTTGTAATAAACAAGAAATTTATGTGCAAAAAATATCACCGAGATTTCCACAGGAAATATATCAATCATAACAGACCGAATATTATATTCGGTCTGTTGGATACATACTAGGATGAGAGTATACAATATGTAAGATATTCAAAACTTAGGGATGTGTATCTAGACATTATTGGTATGAAGTCTCAATCACCATGGTCTGGAAATGGTAATAGAAAATCCAGGTGTCATTTATTTATGGTGATCACTTCACCCAGTCTATGGAAAATTTCATATCCGCCATTATGTTTTTTTTTTGTTTTTTTTTAAATCAATTAAATCAATAAGAAGTCAAGCATTTAGACTGATATTTCTTCCCTCAATATATGCAGATTGATCATTGCTAACTAACAGTTAAATTACATTTTTTATCCTCCAAGCAATCAAAAATGCTATTATCTTATAGTCCGCCATTATGTTAATCTGTAATAGACTTAATTGAAGGTCCTGGGTTTGATTCTCTCACTGGGCATTGAATTTAGCACACTCTGTATCAAGTCTAGTATCTGACTCGTTACTCTACAGTTCCCCTGACAGACTTGCCCAAAGGTTGTTACAAATCATTTGATTTGATCGGTTACCTTAAGGCTAGGGTGCATGTTCGGAATTTTTCTGCATTCCTCAATTGAGTCGCATGTTAGTTTTCAAACAGGAATCACTCCTTCCCCACACTGTGTACATCTTTCAGCGTTGCACAGGAGACTGCACTTATAATGTGCCTAGAAAAGACTGGTGAGAAGATTTGTTTTTGTAAAATGTATAAAAAACAGAAAATACATTTTATCAAAACATTCTTCTTTACATTCTTTTATAGGTACCTTAGTGCACTCTTTGTGCAAAAGTGAGAGATGAAGACATTGTGGGGAAGGAGTGATTCGAATTTGAAAAATGACATGTGACCCTATTGAGGGTTGCAGCAAAATTCTGAACATGCACCCTGACCTTAAAAAACAATATTGCTGATAAGAAAATTAAAAAAATAATATGAAATTGATTTATTTTACAAATGTGATTTATTTGCACGACTCCTTTTATTTAAATCCCAAATATATCAAACTAAAGCTGCATGCAATCCTTGCTTATTTTGTAATGTAACTTTCTCAATCTACAATTACAACTAATTACCCCTCCTATTTCCATGTTTAAAATGTGTGGTGACACGGTAATTGAAACTGAAGTATGTTCCTTCCAATGACCTCATTGACGAATCAAATGATCAGCAGAGCTTATTAATCTGGCAGAGTATTTGGCAATTAAAATTTTTGATGAAAAATTCACTCAATTCTCCAGTAAATACAGCATATTTTTGATAAAAGATGATATCAGATTTAAGTATAAGGCATATTTCAAATATAAGACCAACATTTATGTTTAGAATTATTACATTAGAAAATGCAAATTAGTTTGAGGTTAATTTTTCAACTTTTGGTAGTGTGATCTCACTGATCTGAGGTCGATTATGACTGCTTCATAAAAGTTTGTCTAATACTGTACGCCCGGTATTATTCGCGAGCTTTAATTTCGCGAATTTTGCGAAAACACGGTTTCGCGGCTATTAAATTTCGCGAATTTCACAAGTTTGAAATTCATTATTCTCGGAATTCTCAAGCTAAATTACTAGTAGATGTACAGTTATTGCACTTACCTGATGTCATAGTTGGATCAGAGTTACAATAACTGGGATCTTTATCATCGGCAAGCTGCATATCAACTTCTATTATCGCATCGTTAATTTCGGTCTTATTTTAAAACGAAAAAGCAGTTTGAATTCGAATTTTGTACTCACAACATCAAGAATTCCCGGGGATTTAATTGGCAATTTTGCGATGATAATTTTTCGCGATTTTGACACCATCGCGAAAAGCGCGAAAGTTAATCGCACGCAAATAATACCGGGCGTACAGTATACTAATTTGGCTTAACACCTTTTTTAATTTCAGGAAAATTACGATATGCAAACAACTCCAACTACAAAAATGACACAATGATCAGAAAAGAAGTAAGTTCCTATTCTTATCATAATTTTCCAATTTGAGTAAATTATTACAATAAAATCATTATTTAGAAATCACCCTGTTAGAAGCAGTGGAATGCCTTTATTACCTAAATCATGTTCCACTTTGGAAATGTTCCACATATAGAGGTCAATTTAGAACATTTACAATTACATTTAAGTAATAGGACATTGAGAAGTGTTAAAGATATAAGCTCAAAGTAGTATAAGCTTCCTATATTCTTACAATAAATCTAAAATGATGGCCTGAACTTACGTTGTAAGCAGCAGTCAATCTAGACTATATAAGGAAGCGCATTGTCTGTAGTGGTCAATTTAGACTATATAAGGAAGCGCATTGTCTGTAGTGGTCAATTTAGACTATATAAGGAAGCGCATTGTCTGTAGCGGTCAATTTAGACTATATAAGGAAGCGCATTGTCTGAAGCGGTGAATTTAGACTATATAAGAAAGCGCATTGTCTGTAGTGGTCAATTTAGAATATATAAGGAAGCGCATTGTCTGAAGCGGTCAATTTAGACTATATAAGAAAGCGCATTGTCTGTAGCGGTCAATTTAGACTATATAAGGAAGCGCATTGTCTGTAGTGGTCAATTTAGACTATATAAGGAAGCACATTGTCTGTAGTGGTCAATTTAGACTATATACGAAAGCGCATTGTCTGTAGCGGTCAATTTAGAATATATAAGGAAGCGCATTGTGTGTATCGATCAATCTAGCCTATATAAGGAATGTTCTCATTAGTATTTCTGACATCAGATGAACGAATACAAGAGACTTTATAAAATAAAATTTTGGAAAATAGTTGCAAAGTTCCTTTAGACAACCAGTTATTTTGATAAAAAAATTGGAGTAAATTACCTGTTGCTAATGAATGATAAGGCAATTCTGATAAGGTGATGATAATAATTAATAAGATATAATTCTGCTAATGAATGATAATGTATAATTGTATACAGTTTTTGTTTGTTCATGAGTCACACATTTAGTTATTTACACTGTTTTTCATTTTATTTTTCCTAGGCATTTGTACATAAATCTGTGCTAGAAGAGCTAAAGCGTATCATAGAAGACTCCGAGATCATGCAAGAAGATGATGCTTTGTGGCCAACACCTGATAGAGTCGGTAGGCAGGTTGGTACATTTACAACACCTTTGTTCATTGTTGGTATATTCACAACCTCCTTTCCTTTGTTATTTTCAATGGTCAAAACTTTGTTTAAGAGTATACATTTGATTTAAGCATTCTTTTGTGATTCATTTTTTAGTGATGGATATTATAGGGCTGTTAGGGTGTTTTTGTGTTGTGAGGTTTGATCATTTCGGGAGTGTTTTAAGTTGTGTTTTGTTTTTGAGAGTGTATTCGTGTTTTTGGGCTTTTAAGGGTGTATTGTTTTAATGATGCTTTTTTGTTTTCGATTTGTGAAGATAATTAGAAATTTTCCATTTTTATTTCAGGAACTGGAGATTGTGATAGGAGATGAACACATATCATTTACCACATCAAAAATAGGCTCCCTTGTGGAAGTCAACCAGAGCAAGTAAGTGAACATTCTCATAAAAAAGTGTGTCACATTTCAAAATTATGTTACTCATTAAAGATAATTGTATTTATCAATCAACCTTGAGTATAACACATTTGCAGATTTAACTGTAACTTTAATCTTCCACTTCCCAGAAATCTCCAATGTAGTTGTTGAAATAGGGCACAAAGGGTGACTATGTGTAACTTTTATCACATTTTATTTCGTTTAAACATTGGGTTAATGATGTAGGAACAAAGTAATTTATTCCTTTACCAATTTGCGTATTTTAGGGATCCAGAGGGTCTGAGAACTTTCTACTACCTGGTTCAAGATCTCAAGTGTTTAGTCTTCTCTCTCATTGGACTACATTTTAAGATAAAACCTATATAAACATGGAGCATAACAACAGAGACATACAGTCAAACAATATGGGTATAGAAAAAATGACATAAAGTCAGTACAATCTGTGTACAGAAGAGAAGACAGTTTTGTGTTCAAGTCTGCCTCGTCAAGATCACATAAAAGTCAGTTGGACAACCATGGATATATTCACGGACATTAACTTTATTGAATTATTTGACATGGATCTTTTCTACTTCTGAGATGTTATATAATCATTGATAGGAGCTTCTGTTGATACATCTTGATATTTGGTTTTCTTGTATAAAGAAATGATGTTCATTTAAATATGATACAGTAGACTTTTATAAAGAACTCTGTTGTTATCATGTACACTAATGCGTTTTTATTTCTTGTATATACATGTATACTTGTAATTTCTGGAGATGATATGAACAATAAACATTTTATAAGATACTCAAAAACTTGCTTTCTAGCAAATTGTAGAGCAAATTTTCACAACATTTGCCTAAATCCTAAGAATATTCCTGAACGTTCTCTCATTAATATTTTTAAAACAGGTTTTTCTTTCACTGTAACCTTTAGACAGAAAATATAGAATGCTTGTGGTTAGTTTGAGTATACTTAGCAATAGACCATAAAGTGTACCAAAGAAGTTTTATGAAGCAAAATAGTGATAAAGCAAATAGAGATCAGGGTAATTATAAAAATGGGTGAAAACTTAAAATTACTTTTTAATATTACTGATGATATTAATGATTAGATTGAAGTAAAATTGTTTTGGGGAGTATTGTTTTCGTTGAGCCACTGTCTGCATCAAGGCAAGACCATGCGCAAGGTAATTTGTTCTTTAGATTTAGATTAATTACCTGGATAGCAACGGCTGTACTACCAAGCAAGAAAACAAAACCTCTCTACTGAATTTGCATTTTTGTACTTTTTATAAGTTATAGGATATAATAACGATCTTAAATTGAAAACCAAATTTGAAATAGTGAAAAACTAGAAAATATCGAAATCAACCCTTACCCTCCGCCATTTTGAGAAAATATAACGCCTTTCATTACTTCGGTAATCCAGAACATCGCTAAAAAAACTGAGAACCATTGCTTTTCAAGAGAAACCCCCACTTAAAAGTTGCAATTTACTTATTCAGAAGTATTGTCCAAGACCACCATAAACAAAGAAAAATATACATGGAAATAGTTGCTGTTGTAATTGTAACATATGTAACATTTATGAGAAAAGTATAACCCAGCCATGTCCCGTATGCATGTACGACTAACATTTGAGAAAAGTATAACCCAGCCATTTCCCGTATGCATGTACGACTAACATTTGAGAAAAGTATAACCCAGCCATTTCCCGTATGCATGTACGACTAACATTTGAAAAAAGTATAACCCAGCCATGTCCCGTATGCATGTACGACTAACATTTGAGAAAAGTATAACCCAGCCATGTCCCGTATGCATGTACGACTAACATTTGAGAAAAGTATAACCCAGCCATTTCCCGTATGCATGTACGACTAACATTTGAGAAAAGTATAACCCAGCCATGTCCCGTATGCATGTACGACTAACATTTGAGAAAAGTATAACCCAGCCATGTCCCGTATGCATGTACGACTAACATTTGAGAAAAGTATAACCCAGCCATTTCCCGTATGTATGTACGACTAACATTTGAGAAGAGTATAACCCAGCCATGTCCCGTATGCATGTACGACTAACATTTGAGAAAAGTATAACCCAGCCATGTCCCGTATGCATGTACGACTAACATTTGAGAAAAGTATAACCCAGCCATTTCCCGTATGCATGTACGACTAACATTTGAGAAAAGTATAACCCAGCCATTTCCCGTATGCATGTACGACTAACATTTGAGAAAAGTATAACCCAGCCATGTCCCGTATGCATGTACGACTAACATTTGAGAAAGTATAACCCAGCCATGTCCCGTATGCATGTACGACTAACATTTGAGAAAAGTATAACCCAGCCATTTCCCGTATGCATGTACGACTAACATTTATGAGAAAACTTTACATCAGTTCGTGTAGTATCACCAGGCAGCAAAAGCAAACGATATCTCAATAAAACGCGATTTTGCAAATTCGCTTTTTAATTTGTTTCAATCTGAAGAAATAATATTCCATATATGAATTGATATGTGGACAATGTTTCAGCAGTCTTAAAAAAATTGAAATCTAATATTTTTCTGTCCCTAGTCCTAATATTGATAGTGAAACAACAGAAATATGTAATGAGTATCAGAATGACGAATCATTTAGCGACTGATAAATCGTAGAACACGGACTTCATTGAATTCTACTGTTGACACAGGCTGGTATCGAAAGACTTTTCCGCTAATATATTGATGTATTGGGTCTTTTTAGTATTTTATAAAAAAAAAGTTTAATTTTTTGTCCGCTGTGACGGAGCAGTTGTAAATGTGAACTGTGAAACCGCTCAGCCACAGCGGACAAAAAAATTTCTTATGAAAAAATTAAAAAGACGCAATACATCCAGATCTCATACAATCAGAGTTATGCTGAAAAAAATAAATAAATATCATCGTGTCACTATGTGTCGTGTCATCAATCATGCCATTAAAAAGTTAAAAAGAAATGGTGCATTTCAGAATATGATACTCTGGCACCGTTCTCAATAGCTTTTCCTCAAATGATATATCCATTGCATGGAGTAAGTAATTTTCTTTGATATAACGAAATATAACGATTTAAAAATAAATTGTGAAGTATTCTTAGAAAGTTTTTATGAAAAATAGCATGCTCCGTCACAACGGACAAATCTTCCGATACCAGCCTGTGGTTGAGTTCTACTGTATGCAATACATACACATTGGCTGTACACATATCTCTATTTCTGCTTCTCCAAACTACATTTACAATCTGTCTATGTACTCCATCAACATCGCCATAACAATGGCAAGAGAAGAGTGCCATAATGTTTTCAGGCACGATCCAGTGTTTACCCCTGTCCTAATGTTTGGGTTGCCAGTTGTAGGATCGAACTTCATCACCATACAGTAACCCTTGTCTTCATAGTAGAACGACTGTCCCCACATGTTATTACATAGTCCCCTACCGTCCCTGTACATGTCCTGGTATGTTCTACATATTGTATTGTTGGGACATTTGTAAACCTCGTCTATGTAATGGAAGTCACTCTGCCAGTTGCTAACGCACGTACGGTCATACATGCAGGCATCGAACCACTGGTTGCAGTAGTCGGCGCATATCGGAACCTTATGGGCCATACGTTTTTTGTCGGGGTCTGGGTGCTGGTACTTTATCAACTCTGGCTCACATTGGTAGAAACATTCTTCGTCTTTGATAAACTGTTCGCATGGCTGAGAAATCGGCCCACAATGATCCCAGTGAAAATTGTAGATATTTACAGACTTGTTGGCTCTCAACTCCTGCGTAAACTCTGCAGTGCAACATGATTTATTCTTCCACGAGAAGCATTCGTTGTAATCCGGTCCCTCTGGGGACGGGCTGGTCTTATGAAATGGTCCCTCTAGGCATCGTTCTCCGCCATGATCATCAGATTCGCCGTGAGAGTGAACGTTGTGGATGAACGCAATCATTACGAAAATGGAAGCTTTGAAGAGCATTTTGACAGTAATATCCTTGTGGTTTAACGTGTATGGCGAAAATGCCTCTTAATTCATGTGTATGTTGATGTACCTTTATTCAAATACTTTATGTAAAATGAACATATAAAATGGGCCAAATGGGGTCCAATTGTCAAAGTCCTTGCTGTTTAGTGAATGTAACTTGATACACTATGGCCTCTTACTTGTTTTTGTGGTTTAACAGGTATCTTGAACAAAATTAACAAGTGCATAAACTTGGTATGTTTATCAGAATATAAAGAATGTATTGTACTAGTTTACCCGACTATAACCTAAAACTCGTGATGTTAAACCATGCTTCAAACTGCACAAAGAATTCCACATTAATTAAACACTACGATTTATGAACTGAATTCATTCATTTATTCATTTAATACATTAGTTGCAATACATAAAGAAAAACATATATTCTCCATTCAATCTGTTTGTGTCATACTGTCATGAAAATAACTATATTATTTCAATTTTATTTTGGACTCTCAATCGTGGAAGCTTTTCAAGTTTCCCTCCACGAAATCACACTCAACCTAAGAAACAAATACTATAGTTAGAACAAACCAACATGGCTCAAAAATATTGTATGGGGAACAAAATACGAACAATGGTTAGTTTAAGGGTACTGTAATAAGCTATTCAAATTCTTAAATATATTTTTTCATTTTGATAAATTTGTGCTTGAAGTGATTAAACTTCAGTCACAAGTATTAAGTATTAGTGAGCAATTTAGTCAAGTAAATCCAGCATGAGGCCGGTCACCATATGGACACAAAAAGAAAGGGACACACACAGACAGAAGAAACCAATTTGTCAATTATACGTGATATCAGCCTATGTTTAATGCGCATCCTATCCAATATTCAGACACCTTTGGGTTTTCTCTAAATATTTTCATTAAACGCATAGCATAGACTTCAAGCTTCGCAAATTGATCAATTGCAATGATATTTTACATATTTTACAGTCAACGTTGGTTTACAAGAAAACTTCATCAAAACATTTACACATTGCGTCGTCGGCATTGCTGTCACTGTCATTGTAAAGGTTGAGATGAACCATTGGTACCCTGTCACGATCAGGAACTAGTTGTAGGTCACTGTCATTGGGATGGTTTAGATGTTACATCGGTACCCTGTCACGTTCAGGAACTAGTTGTAGGTCACTGTCATTGGGATGATTTAGATGTTACATCGGTACCCTGTCACGATCAGGAACTAGTTGTAGGTCACTGTCATTGGGATGATTTAGATGTTACATCGGTACCCTGTCACGATCAGGAACTAGTTGTAGGTCATTGTCATTTGGATGATTTAGATGTTACATCGGTATCCTGTCACGATCAGGAACTAGTTGTAGGTCACTGTCATTGTGAAGGCTTGGATGTTACATCGGTACCCTGTCACAATCAGGAACTAGTTGTAGGTCACTGTCATTTGGATGGTTTAGATGTTACATCGGTACCCTGTCACGATCAGGAACTAGTTGTAGGTCACTGTCATTGGGATGGTTTAGATGTTACATCGGTATCCTGTCACGATCAGGAACTAGTCGTAGGTCACTGTCATCGTGAAGGCTTGGATGTTACATCGGTATCCTGTCACGATCAGGAACTAGTTGTTGGTCACTGTCATTGGGATGGTTTAGATGTTACATCGGTACCCTGTCACGATCAGGAACTAGTCGTAGGTCACTGTCATTGTGAAGGCTTGGATGTTACATCGGTATCCTGTCACGATCAGGAACTAGTTGTAGGTCACTGTCATTGGGATGGTTTGGATGCGACATCGGTACCCTGTCACGATCAGGAACTAGTTGTAGGTCACTGTCATTGGGATGATTTAGATGTTACATCGGTCTCCTGTCACGATCAGGAACTAGTTGTTGGTCACTGTCATTGGGATGGTTTGGATGTGACATCGGTATCCTGTCACGATCAGGAAATAGGTGTAGGTCACTGTCATTGGGATGATTTAGATGCAACATCGGTACCCTGTCACGATCAGGAACTAGTTGTTGATCACTGTCATTGGGATGGTTTGGATGTGACATCGGTATCCTGTCACGATCAGGAACCATGTGTAGGTCACTGTCATTGGGATGATTTAGATGTTACATCGGTCTCCTGTCACGATCAGGAACTAGTTGTAGGTCACTGTCATTTGGATGGTTTAGATGTTACAGCGGTTTCCTGTCACGATCAGGAACTAGTTGTAGGTCACTGTCATTTGGATGGTTTAGATGTTACATCGGTGTCCAGTCACGATCAGGAACTAGGTGTAGGTCACTGTCATTGGGATGGTTTAGATGTTACATCGGTATCCTGTCAAGATCAGGAACTAGTTGTAGGTCACTGTCATTTGGATGGTTTAGATGTTACATCGGTTTCCTGTCACGATCAGGAACTAGTTGTAGGTCACTGTCATTGTGAAGGCTTGGATGTTACATCGGTATCCTGTCACGATCAGGAACTAGTTGTTGGTCACTGTCATTGGGATGGTTTAGATGTTACATTGGTATCCTGTCACGATCATGAACTAGTTGTAGGTCATTGTCATTTGGATGGTTTAGATGTTACATTGGTATCCTGTCACGATCATGAACTAGTTGTTGGTCACTGTCATTGTGAAGGCTTGGATGTTACATCGGTACCCTGTCACGATCAGGAACTAGGTGTAGGTCACTGTCATTGGGATGGTTTCGATGTTACATCGGTATCCTGTCACGATCAGGAACTAGTTGTTGGTCACTGTCATTGGGATGGTTTAGATGTTACATCGGTACCCTGTCACGATCAGGAACTAGTTTTAGGTCACTGTCATTGTGAAGGCTTAGATGTTACATCGGTATCCTGTCACGATCAGGAACTAGTTGTTAGTCACTGTCATTGGGATGGTTTAGATGTTACATCGGTACCCTGTCACGATCAGGAACTAGTTGTAGGTCACTGTCATTGTGAAGGCTTAGATGTTACATCGGTATCCTGTCACGATCAGGAACTAGTTGTAGGTCACTGTCATTGGGATGGTTTAGATGTTACATCGGTATCCTGTCACGATCAGGAACTAGTTGTAGGTCACTGTCATTGTGAAGGCTTAGATGTTACATCGGTATCCTGTCACGATCAGGAACTAGTTGTAGGTCACTGTCATTGGGATGGTTTAGATGTTACATCGGTGCCCTGTCACGATCAGGAACTTGTTGTAGGTCACTGTCATTGGGATGGTTTAGATGTTACATCGGTACCCTGTCACGATCAGGAACTCATTGTAGGTCACTGTCATTGGGATGGTTTAGATGTTACATCGGTACCCTGTCATGATCAGGAACTAATTGTAGGTCACTGTCATTGGGATGGTTTAGATGTTACATCGGTACCCTGTCACGAACAGGATGAGGCATTTGATCAAGTGCAGTTCGCTGAAAGATCTTTTGAGCACTTTCAGGTCTGTTGTCACTGTCAACTGCGTGAGTCCTTTAGACCATTGCCTTTGTTTTTAACTTGTCATGAACACTGTTGTCGCATGTTTCCTCCATTTTTACATTGTCACGTAGTTTCTGTAGGACAGCGTCAGTCGATTAAATTGACGTCGGTCAGACTCTGTCGTCAAGGACATTTCTCTTTGATCTTCCTAATTTTGACAATATTCTTTTTACAAAGACAGATCTTCGGTTTGATACATTTGCAATCTCTTGTAGATGGTTGAATGTCTGTCCTCGATTCATGCTTACACTGTCAGGAATGTTTAGCACCAGTTGTGTTCTGACACAAGCAGGACTGTTTCCCGGGTCATTTACACTGTCTAGTACCTTTCGTTAAGGTGTGTCTGCACTGTCACCGTTGGTTAAGCGTGCGTCTTTTCTCAACGGTCTTGACTCAAATACAAAGTGTCTTGTTCTTCTTTTTGTGACAGCGTCATGTCCTTGAAACTAATGTAACAGGGTTTTGTCATTGTCATGGTCGCGTAACGTTCAATTGTATCTTCTCCGTGACGTCGTTTGACGCGACGTCATTTGTGGATTTAGGTCATTGTCATTTTTCCTTACTTAAAGGCGAAGTTGTACAATTGACCATTACAGAAGAAGTAAATGTTGATGACGTAGGGTCCGTATCTTCATCTACCTTACATCATTTATTAATTTGATCATTGTCCCTCAACTGTTTACAAACACTTGGCGTAAAATGACGTCACCTGGTGTCGTTTATCAGTCTTTGTGTTCGAGTATCTGATGTCGATTCTCCTCCCATTTGGGTAGTTTGTTTATGTTTGTGATTCTTGTTATGACGATGAAAATGATGCGTATAATGATGTTGACCTTGTGAACCGTTCTCCCTGTGGTCATCCTACAAAACAAAAACCTAAATGTAAGCACATTTATTATACTGTTTACTTGGCATGGTAGCGTTGTGCATTATACTAACAGGCAAAACGTTTTTAAACTATTTTATAACATCTATACTGATACTGATACTGAATATCGATTACTATCTTGGAAATGAAACCATACCTCATGTATAACACGTCCGGATATCGTTGAAAGCAGGATGGACGACGTTGATTTCATTGATGGTGGCCGCATTGTCGTGGAAGATGACGGCCCTGATGACGGTGTAGAGCTTGGCTCAACGGCTGACAATCCAGTTGTTGAATCGTCTTGTTCAATTACAAGTTTCATATGTGGAGGGATGGTATCAAAGGCGGGGTCGTGTTCACAATACTGAGGGCAAGGTGTATCGTAGTACGTGGTTAATATAGCAGCCTCCACGTAGGGATAGGTTAGCAAACTATTGGGGAGGGGGATGTGGAACACAAGTCGACCACACCTACAAAAAGTGATGTTAAGTACTAGTAATTGAAACGTTTCCAGCGTTTTCTTGTTAAATTCATATGTGATTTTTTCAAAGTGTCCACAGTGAACTCATCTTTTGAAAATCCTTGTTTTTATAATAAGCCTCATTCCTTTCTAAAGCCAATTGAAACCAAACCTAAATTACGTTTCACTTTTTACCTAAAATCTAAAACAACAATAATTCGTGTTTTGAATCGGTTCAATACTTTTGAACGAGTTAAGGGCCTTCTTATTTCACAGAGGCAGGGATTTACTTTAGTAAGTAATGATATCATTAAGTATTTCATGTCATGTATTACCTGTCATATATGAAGAAATCGTCCTTGCGTCCATTCAGTTTCTTCCAAACATGGCCTCGGTTGTTGTCTTGATATACGGGGATATTTACGCGCTTCGTCAACTCGCCTATACTCACTCTAGCGTGCCAAATATGAGTGTTAACTACTACGTATTTTACATCAGCCAAACCATTACGTATCAGCTTCTGACGCAAAAGTTCCAATCTGGAAGGAAAAAGTAAAAAGAAATGCGAGAGTCAAAGTATGGCAGATATAGTTTAAAAAGTACTAACGATCATGAATAGTATCAATGTTTTCTTTCGCATATATTTTTTCATGTTTACAACGCAAGTGCAAAACTCCTTATTACTTAGCATTGATAGTTAACTTACGAAGAAGCTTGCGTCAGACACAAGGGTCAGCTAGCCTGAAGCAAGGCGACCACAGTGACGTTCCCCCGGTGCTGCAGCATAGGAGAGACGCCCTGGAGACGCCAGCTTGGTGCCGGCTCGCATGTTCCCTGTGTCGCTGCTGATACGACCGTGGCGAGGCTAAGGCAGACCGCCAGCAACTGGCCTACCCCCGCCATTTTCTAGTGAATCTCTACAAAAAATGCAGCAAATCAAATACGTTGCATGGTTGTGAGCTTGGGAGTACTGGTCTTGTTCTGAAGGATTATAACTGTTAGTGTGAATATCATTAATTAAGAGATAAAGAATAGATGGTACGTTTATGATTAGTTCGGAGCTCTAAATTCAAACAAATGCTACCAGCAGCTAAATATAGATCTAGAATAATATTATTTGTTTTTATATCACCACCAATAAGTGATGACATGTTGTTATAATCGCCTTTTGCGAGCTTATTGTAATTGCAACTTGGTGGTGACATTTTTCATGTAAGTTACATGTTTTTTATTTAACACGTTCATTTAAAAGTGCTGGTAATGCTAATCAAACCACGCTCAGAGTTTTTTAAAACCAGCTCACTTCTCAATTTCAAAATAACAATGAATAGAGTAGACTTTAGACCCAATATGCAAAGTCGGAATGCATTAGGCCTATATGTGACTTATATTTCGGAATTATTCCCAGATGATCTTTATTCGATCATCTGCTTTTTGCTTTACGTTTAATAGTACATAAATAAAAATCGCTGATACCATTATCTACAGATCATTTTTTTCATTTGTCATCGAGACCGGTCATGATCAGGATACATAGATATGGTGAGCATTGAGCACTAGTCTATCATTATCTAGAGAATACAAACCTACCACCAAGGTTGGCGCAGTTCAAGTTGCACTTATGTCCTAGGTTTACTACTTACAGTTTCAGGCATAGTCCCAAAATACATCAAACTCTGACGAAAGCTTCACATTATGTCATGTTCAATTGCTGTTCCCAAGAAGTAATGCTTTCTCATGGCTCTGCGCGAGACTTGATTATACAATCAATACTTTGTCAGTTTTCTGAACTTGAATGACACCCCATGTCGTGACCCACTCCAGAAGTATATATTTTCGAAAGTAACTGATGGACCAAACAGTTATGACCAAAAAAATCTAATTAGATTAGAATCATTGAATTAGCAATGAAACGCTTGAAAACGTACCTTTTTGCTGTAGTTTATGTTGTTGCTTCTCCAAGAACAAGGCTATTACTAAATAGGTACTCAAGCCTGGTCCCAAGTCCGGTTCAACTACTGTGCACGATGCTTCTATCTGATACAATGTACAAAGTTTACACTTCTGAGATAAACTTTTACTGACATCAATCTCAGCTGATGTTTGTTTTCAATTTGTTTCTAAACCTTCATCCAACTAGGTCAAGCAAAAAAACATTTACAAAGTTGGTAAACAATTTTCAGGTGTATTTGCTACTTGAAGAGGAAAACAAGGACATTTGCTATTTTGAGTTCGTGATGCCCTTATGCTTGTCGCTTGATATGTGTCCCGTCAAAAAAGAGGCAGTCAAGCAGGAGCGCCTTTAACATGTTTAGTATCGTGTCAATCGACTAGTAGATGTAGTCATGGACATTTCATGGGTGCTCAAAACTTTTTGTTTCTATATCAATTTTTGCGAATGGGGAGCTTTTCTAAATTCTGTAGATAACGATTTTTGCATAATTACAGGATGAACCAATAAACAATTGAAATATTTTTCTATTTATTCAATTGTCTTTATTATTGCAGTTCAATCCTCAAAAAATCAGATAATGGTGAAATGATTATTTGTGAAAATGTTAAAGATAAAATATGCATGTATAATCTTTTTTGGCTTGTCATGGTCATGATCTCTGCATGTTTATTGCGTTTGTCACTTAAGTCATGTATGACTGTCAAATACAGCTCAGACTGATTGTTCAGCAGGTGGGTGCACGTGGAGGACATGTTCAGGAAACCCTTTCGTCGATGTATAAATGTAGAGCTTGTATAATCACATTTACATGTAAGCTGTTGACAATGATTTGTATTTTTTTCAATTTCCTAAAGTACATATAAACTAACCAAAACGTTGTACACAAGATGGAAGATGTTCCAATTTTTTCGCTCACTCTGTACATAGGCTACTATATTACTGCCGTCCTGACGTTATACTATTTATTTGGAGGAGACTTCCAATCTCCTTCGCCCTCTTACACTCATACCTCACCGCCCCTGCCCCCTTATAGCCACCTCTGCAATGTTACGGCCCCTGATTCATACTCGACAACCCCCCCCCCCCCCCATCCTCAACGCAGCCAGTGTCGGGAGTGTAACTTTGCAAATTCATATGAAATTTCCTTATGTTATATAGATGTCGCACAAGTCAAAATGTTGCTTTAGCACTTGAAAAGCTCAAAATTATTCGCATTGAAATGGTTTCTATTTTTATTGTGTCGGTTGTACACGTAAAAGGTTCAGTAATCACAGTGAATAAAGTATTTTCGTATGAATATATACGAAAAACCGAGGTATATCCTCACAAGGGGTCATTTGTACATTAACAAGCTTATGTTTAGATGCAATTTATTCTGAATAACCTTATAATGTGTTTGTAGGAAATGGATGTTTAACGGCACGCTAGCTACATATAATTTAGTCTACATATAGTTAGTTACAGGTAAGTGGAGTAAATGTATGTAGTTAAGAATGTGATGTTGAAAAGGTTCTTAACATGATACTTAATTTAATTTAGCGATTCAAAGAAAGTCACAGTGTCCACGATACATTATTATTCCACAGATAGAAAGTAACATCTGCATTCATGTAATACAAAGCATGTAGTCAGTATGTCAACATGTGCACAGTGCTTGTTACTGTACCCACTAGGCTGGGCCGGGCACGTAGTCTTGTTCCAAGTCCATGTGATCCCCTACCGGTCACGCCACCTTATACGACATAACATCACTCCGATACTACAGATTCTAAGTAAGCAACCACATATATTGCTAAGATTTTGTAATGACTTTCAAAGCAAAATGCACAAATAGAATTTGTTTTAATCTATGTATGAATAGATTATGATGTATGAATGTAAAAATTTGCAAAAGACACCGAGAGGGAATGTTTAAGAAATTATCAAAAGTACAGTGCTGTATATATTGTTCAAGTGTCATGCTCCTAACAGTTACTTTCGACCTTGGGCACGAAAATGATTCAGCAAATTGCAGCGATTGAAGAAAAAACGCGAATGAAATACACTTGGCAGAATGATGATGAATACATTTTGAAATGTAACTGAAACGAATGCAATTTCCAAAAGTTTGATAAGGTTTTTATTTGAGAGAGGCTTTCATCTATGGTTTCGAACACTTGGGGTATTTTAAAGTGGAAATCCTTTGTCGGTCATGCTACGGTCCCCGGGCTACGGTCATGCTCAATTGGCAATATTCAATGCTCAGGGTAATGTTACAAATCATTTTATGCATGCACCACATAGATAACGCCATCCCTGGTTTATTAAAGATCCATCAACATAGATATCCATTCGTCTTAAACTTAACACTGTCTCGATGGGATTTCGCAATCACCGGTAAATACATTGGGAGCCTGTGTTATGTAATGCTGTTTTGTTTCGTAACATATCTCGGTTGGAGGCTACTGACTGCAATAATAACGTTCTGCAAATTTGGTCCATAGTTGCTAGTTTGGATAACTATTTTAAGTCAATACTTAAGAGCATATCATCGAAAGAAAATGAGACGGGGAGTTTGGTACATGAACTCAGGAAACCGATTTTGTTGGATTGATCCCATATCAAGAGTTTCTTCTGAAGCATGGTTATAAAACAATATTTGAGACTATAAATTAGAAATCGAATAAGTTGTCCTAGCTGTTGAGAGCATCAGTATCATCTTAAATAGAACATGCTTTGACGGTACTGAGACAGAATATAATGCAACTAGAGTTTTTGTGGTTAAAAAGCCTTTATACTCGAGTTCAGTCGGATACATTTTTTACATTTCAGGCGAACATCCGATGCGGGAACAAATTGGCGGGTGTTACAGCTGATCCTATGCCAGATCGGCAACTTTGTTATTGATACACATAAACCTCTGAACACTATGGACCAGAGAGGTGCCACCAATGAAGGCAGTTACTCCGATGACGAAGATAACGACAAGTCGCTAAGAGCTGGCACTGCTTATATGAATGGAATCAATGGCATAAACCTGTCCTGTCTCGATGTTGAGGCTAGTGACAACGAAATGTTGATTGACAATGAGTCTATACACGACGCTGTTATCGGAGAGGTGGAGAGTGGCGACCACATGGAGCATGTTGATATGACTGAAATGAATCCCAATGATTCACACAATATGATTAACGATGATGCAAGGGCTCAAATGACAAAACACAAAGGGAAACAAAGTGGTGATACATATATTGATTATAAAGATGATGAAGACTATGGTGCGTCATTTGGCACATTTGGTTCACTCATGAATGACGATACAACTTTGAAAATCCGTGGGGAAATGCCAGAAACATACTCATCAGCAATGTCCACACACTCCCCTCCGGTAGCACCCAAGCCTAACATCTTGAATAAATCAGATTTATGTCCAACGGAAGACATTGATGAAATGAAGGACACTGATGAGACATCGCCATTGCGAATGTACCATAACACAGCTGATGCTGGACATGCGGACTTACCAATGACAAACGATCTGACAAATCTATATTCGCATCCACCGCGCAAGCCACCGCGTTCTCCACCTAGTACACATACTTACGAAAACGGCCCATTTCATAGAGACTTTTTAACCACCAAAACGGTTGATAGTATGAATAACATTATCAAAGACAATATTAATGTTGGGCCCAAAGCGCCGATTGGTTTTGAAGCCTACATCACCGATGGTATCGGTCTAAATGAGGACGAGCAATCTCACTCTGATCGGCAGGCTGAAACGACCACGGACAATAATTCAACTGCGGGAGGGAGTATGTCCCACACTGGCACAGTGAGATACAACGGCTCAATCTTACTAGATAGGGATGGAGATAATGAGTACCCTACAAGATGTATCATAAAAGACAGATCACAACAAAGAAGATCCATCTTTGAAAATGAAATACTTGAATCGTTTATGCCTTGTTTTCGTAGAGACACAGCGAGAGAACGATTATGGGGAATTGTGAGTAATGAAATAACAATACTCTGCTTAGCATTAATTGCACTTATTACTAGTGCCGCCAAAATAACTCTGACAAGTCATCAGTTATCAAAGATGGGCCTTGTTACGGTGACGTTTCTTGAAGTGATCGCTGCAATAAGCAGCATAGCATTGAGGACAGCTGAGGCCTGGTTTAAAATGGCCGACGAAAAGGGAGCAAGGGACGTTGAGTTGGTGATGAGAATGCAACGGCAAAAGGGGAAGAAGGCAACATGGGTGTACTCTTCTGGAACTTCACCAGAGCTGAAGAGCTGGAGAAAAAAATTGGTTGCTATCGAGGCCATACTAGGGAGTGTTATCATTTTAGGATTTGTGATATGTGCTGTTAGAAATTCACTTCTTGTTACTGTTCTCACGACTAACGTCCCGCTCTTCATCGGGGATGTTCTCGGTCGCATGTCAGTATACCACCTTAATGTTGGTCTCCTAAAAATCAAGCAAGACCATTTAAAGATGGCACTTATGGAGAGTTTGTATCTGCTACAGGACAACGTACCATCTATTAGACGAAAGAGATTCATTAATAGTGTTAAAGCATCTTTTTATTTCCCAGCATATATTGATATACCTAGATTGGAGCAGATCTCAGTCGGGAGAGGATTCGGTGAGCAGACAGAGACATCTTTTGAGACGGTTGATGAATCAGCCGAGACCTCTTTGATGGCCTTAGCCTAGTGTAAGTCAGGAGAGTAAACCACAATTCAATGAAGCTGTGTATGGCTGTATACTGCAAATGTTAAGCTTCGCCTTTTGAGGGGAGGGGGTAAGATATGCTTGTACTTCAGTACATGGTCACGAACGAACGATACAAATGAAACATAATGGTATCAAAAGAATTCTTTATTCTTTTTCTATCATCCTAGCCTAACGTAAGGTTTACTATACATACAGGGTGAGCCAAGAAAAATTTAACCAAAATAAATGTGAATAACTCATGATCAGTCATCCAGCATGGGTTTAAAGTTATATTTGGCACAATTTAACCTTGTTCAATGTTTTTTTAATTCTACCAAATTTCATTTCAATCAAATTGCAGAGTATAGTATGCACACTCATCATATAGCTATTGTAGATGTGTGATTCATTGTTCGCGCAAAAATAGTCATCTTTCTGAGAGTGAGGTTCGCTCCCGACCTTTGGTTTGTTGATCTTTCAGAAAAGGGGTTGTTATCGGCCGAGTGTCTTTTTTATAAAGAAAGGGGGTTCAAGGCGAATGGGAGCTCGCATTGAGGCCGATAAACCCCCTCTCACTATGCTCATGCATCTAGAGTTGTAAATGTGGACAATATTTTTGAAATGGTTCCAAAGATAAAAGATTGGGGATTCATATCGGGTGATTTTTCCACATTTGGAGCATGTCTTTTAAAATGGCCATAAAATCGTGACTATTTACACAAACAGTAGACCAATGAAACTTAGAAGAATGAAAGAACATTATGAGTTCAATTCCATGATGGAAGACGGAGTCATTAACATTTGTCTTGGTTACCTTTTTTGGCTCACCCTGTGATTCTACATTCACCCAGTTCACGACAAGTATTCAGACAACGGTTAGCAACTATATAGCCGATAACAGAAACTTCATAAAACGAACTTTTCTTAAATTCAACTAGTTCTGTTGTAACCAGGGATATGAAGGCGTATGTTTATAGCACCCCGACCAATACGTGGGTTGTTCCTGTTTATATATGATTTAATAAAAACAGATATCAAATCGTAATTAATGTTCTATGATTAACACACGAATGTGATAATTACTCCCGGAGTGTGTATGTTCTTTTGGGCCATATAAGGCCGGCAAGCACTTCACATCATTTTTGAATATCTAAAATCATACATGCCATTTGAGATGAACCTTGTGCTCCCCATAGCGAAAGATGGGGAATTAAATGGAAATTATTTTTTATTGTGTAGAAGGTAAGACGATTTTGTATTGTGATGTCACAATTCACTTTAAAACAGATTTTGTTCCTAAAAATGGAGAAACATCCAAATCTGCATCCTTGTTGGTGAAAGTGCCGAAAAAGAGACATTTTATATATCGTTTTTGTCATGACTTTATTCCAAGTCCTATGTTATCACCAGAAGTCCGCCCTGGTAATCAGGTGATTTTCAGTGATAAACCTCATGCTGTCAACTGTAATTAGCTTACCTTGTAGTGGCCCAGCCAAAACTGATCGGTCTAAAAGGAAAAAAACTAAAAGGGAACAAAAAATGTATATTAAAGTGTGGGTCTCGGGGGATAGCATGATGGACTAACGGTAAAAGCCTGGACCAGATTAAATCAAGGATGAAGTGCATACTAAATAGGAGAACGTAAATGATTAATTGTGCAATTGTGACTAGACAAGAGTCTGTCCAGGATTGAGTGCTTTTAATTCTTGATATCAACATGACTGACATCTTCAATGCTAAAAGGTTACAATGAAAAGGCAAAAGGCTGGGTGCCAGGATATATCGTAATGATCAATACATTTCGGTATCTGACGTTTTTTCGTTTCCCCTTTCGTTTTTTTACCGAGGCCAATAGTATTTTAATCAATCTTTGTGTTTTGTATTTTGTTGCACAAAAACAAATAAAATTGGATTTTTTCATTTCCATTTTCTCAAAAAGATTTTTTATTGTTCCAAACATATTTTACAACACAAATCGAATATAGTTATATAAAATGTACATATTTTGGGGAAATTTAAAAAAAGGAAAAAGGTGGTGGTGGTGGGACAAGGAGGTTGTACATACTTTTATCTTATGCTGTTGGTTGCTTTGGTGCGTAAGAGGTAAGGGCCTACTCTTTTAAACGTTTTTCAATTATTTCCCATCTTTTGCGGTGCTTTATTTCTTCTTTGTTTTTCTTGCTGATGTAACTTTCTATTTCTCTTTCTTTTTCAGAATAATTTTGTATATTCAAATTCTTAAGAAGGGGCAGGAAGCTTTCCGACTGTGCTGTATCTCCTAGGAGAATCTTCCAGTTTGCTAGTACCCCGGCCCTATTTCTATTTTTCTGTGACATTCATCAATGAAGTTTCTGATAATATCACATTGTAAAAATCCATGTTATATGTCATAAATTGCATTTTCATTGCGACAGTGAGGTGTGTCAGCCAACTGCTTTATTCATTTTACTCAGTGTTTTCCTAAAGTAGATTGCCCTGTTTAGAATTCTATATTGAAAGTATCAGAGATAGTACCCTGCATGCAGAGTCTAGTTAAACTACAGACGAAGCTCTCTTTTAAGAAGTGAAGTCAAACGAATGCAAAGGGTACAGAGATAGCTACTTTTAGTTAGTTTACTGGTCATTTTCTCAAAAAGATGATACTGGAGTATGAAAGTCATTGGGAGGGGCACAATTAACAATACCTAACGTTAACGTTAACCCCCTCCAAAGGAGACACGACAGAACATTGAATCAAGACTTTATGAGATCAAAAACTCCACGTTATGGAAAATACTTGAATTTTTTTGACAAACAATAGCGTATCTGACAACATTGAATTTTCTACTCCTAATATACTTTTTAGTTGTAATGTATAAGATGGACTATAAATACCTGGACGATACATAGCGTATTTGGTCATCAATTTTGAAATGCTTTTTCTCGATTTCCTAGTTTTCATATATTGAAATAAAAAAATCATATGAATTGAGATGCACAAATGTGCAGGACTAATGCTTTGCTATTGTTAGTATTGCTATGACGTGTTCAAATTTTCAAAGGATGTACCTTAATCGTAGTGGTCGTAGTGTTAATAGAAATGTAGTTGAATGAATATGAACAATACCTAGTCACCGTTGATATGGTAACATGACAGCACAGTACCCATGGCAACATATTGAAACATTAAAGAGGCGTCCGAGTTTTTAACATCACGTATAACCCATCCGTTGGAAGTCATCTATGGATGTAGAAATCGAATTTTCTGGCTTTTGAATTAAGACATATTTAGGAGATGAAATATAAATCACATATGAAGTAAAAAATCACAATTATATTTGAAAGTATTTTTATATTTTTTAAAGGGTAATTTCTCAACTGCGTTTTAAACGTCTATAACCTCTATTCTAGATCTAAGGAAACAGCGTCTCGATGTTTTCACCAATCACACGATCATGCAATACAATGGAATTTTAATAAATAGGATGAATTTCTCAATTTCTCGATTCAAGAGAGAATAGCATGGTGTGTGTGAGTCTCACCATGCCACAAAGTACTGTATCTCACTCTATGCAAGACTTAATTTGTTGAAAATGTTTCCACTTATTTAGAAGTTGTAGCATAATTATACGGATGCCCTTTACAGCACTTGCAATTTAACTCAATAAGGCTGCTTTCCAAAAATGATAAAATATTCACATTAAAGGAATTTACACTAAAGAACACTACCGCATCGACCAGTTCATTATAGTTTTGAAAGCACACTATTAAATTACATGATATTACAAACAGTGTTCTGTTGCCAAACACATATAAGATGACGAATTAAATGCATACCAACACCAAACATAGAGACAAATTTTGGCAAAATAGGATGACAAATTAATTATATAAATGCCAGGCACGCACGAAATACATGGATTGATTAATACAATAAATAAACTGAAGTTGCTGCTATATACAAGAATATGAAGGCATAATTATTCACTCGAAATCTCTTTGAGTTCCTGGTGTAGTAAAACAGGAGAAAACAAACAAAAGAGAGGATATGATGCTACTTGCGAGAAACTGCATTTTGTGAGTTCTTCATATATTCGATCTTTGGACACATGATGTCATCCATAAATGAACGCTGATTATGTGTTTTGGCATTGTAGTATGATTTCATATCCATTCGATTAGGGACTTGTAGGAACCATCTTAATGGAAAAAGTATTAGTAGTTTTAATTACGTGTGTATACATCTAAAGAGTTTTAACAGCTGGGGAGTTGAACTAACGACTATTAACCAATATTACATTTGAAAAGGTAAGTTTGATAGTTTTTACGAACACTTCACATTGAATTATTCAATCAACAATAACAATTTAAGATTTGATTGTCATAAATTGATGATATGAGTATACCTATAACAAAATCAAAATCGTAAACCAAAGAGATTTATGAATGCTATCTTTGATGTGATTGACTACCAACGTCAATTATATGCAGATTTCTAATTAAGAACCATGCAGTAGTTCCAGTCGGGTTGATCGTCAGTTGTTGGCAGATCATTGAATGATTCTACCTAAATATAATGTCCATTTGTAACAAAACTAAAATAACTTACATGGTAGAATACAAGATTCATGCGTTCCCGTAACCTGTTCTAAGCCGTCATTCATTAGTTGGATTGAAACACGGATGCACAAAAGTAAGAATTGCATTATTTACTAGAATTGGCATTATCTTCATCAACAATTATAAAACAGAATCTTGGCGTCTTTGTTCTTACAAGGGTTTTGAAAATAACAGACTCTGAGACTACAAATATTTGTTAGCAAGAAAGTGTATTACTAATATAATTTCAGATAATACTAAAATATAGCTACAATATGTCTTATTGTTAATTAAGTCGTATCAAATACGGAGATAAATAAAGGGTGTGCAAAACGAACATACTTATAGGCCTACACGTACATGTGGTGTTCAATAATTAATAAAAAATAAGACCTAAATGTCGCTATACAGGGTGTCAAATAAATATGTTCTCCCCTCCTTAGATTTAGCATCAACATAATGTTGCATAACTATTTTGCCTACATGAAATCTGAATTGTTCTTTAGCACATCAAAACTGGACTCCACGGAGCAACTCCACAAGACGTTTCGGATGAGAAGCTCAACTAGAAGCACTTTTGCACAAAAGTTCATTCTCTTGAACTTAAGGGGGGGGGGGCATATTTATTTGACACCCTGTATATAGCTGGTTTTGTCTGTTAGGTGTTTTGTTTCTAACTTGAATACGGAAATCTCTAGTATCAAAGTTTGCTTATCATCTTCATTACCAATGATTTTATTATCAACATTATCATTTTAAATAATTGTGAATC